AAAGGGGAGTAGTTCGATATTGGTCAGACAGTGGAATGCCCTCTGTTCGCGCCAGACAACAAGATTTCTCTGTACCTTATACCGATCTTGTCAACCTTATAGAGTGGTTGCTCGCAGGAAAAGCAAGAGAGATAAAGAACAAAGAGAAGCTAAAGATAGCGATCGAAAGAAAGAGACAGAAAAATAGCGAGAAAATACGAAGGTAGAAATGATGGCGAATTAAGTGAAAAATCGAAAAGATCGAGCGATAACGATTACAAGTACCAGTAAACTGCTAAATGTCAGATCTTCCCGCGCAGGCACGCGAGAAGATGGCAGTAAATTGAATTTCCTCCAAGAGAAGAGAAAAAAAAGATGAGAAAAAAAGAGAGAGAGTAGGATGTAGCAAAGTCTACATTTAGTCTTTTAGTGCGCGAATACGAAATCTTAATGCAAGAATAAATTTATAAGTAAACAATAGTTATTTAGTAAAATAAATAAACAAAATTTTTTAAAAATATAGAATTAAATAGAGGAATCGCATATAGAGAAAAATGACGAGAAATTGAAAAAACTAATACCACGAAAACGCGAGAGAAGTAAAAGGTGTTTTGAAAAATACAGAAGAGGAAGATGCAAAGGTGGATGACTCGAAGATGTATTTTGAAGAGACCGCAGCCCCTGCGGCCAACGCGTGGGTTAAGGGCGAACGCCTTAACATCCCTGTCTATTTGTCGAATAAAATACAGGGAACCTAGAAACCGCATAAAACGTACATTATTCTCAACTTTTTCTCGCTCACGGATTCGATGTCGAGCACTCGGGGAGCGCTAGGCAAATTTATCCCTATCAACCGCAGACGTACGTTCACCCGGAAGACGAGAGCCTTTCTCACCGCATGCCCTTCCTGCGCGTTTTACCTACGCGATGAGACGACTGAATTTTCGATGATCGGTGAAACGTAGAGGTGATAATTTTGCGGAACCTGATGTTATTGTTAAAAAACTTTTCCACATATCATCCATCTCCAAATGCACTTTTTCGAATTAACACAAACTTTCGAAATATCAGATATCCAACAGTATTGAGATCTATTGCCAAATACTATTAAAACACATGACTAATCGTAACTTTTATAAATTACATTGACATAATAAAAATTTGTTGAATCAAACTAAATGTTTTTTTCAATCTTCTAGAATTTCTCTAAATAATTTTTATATATAATTTATTTCTCTATTAAAATTATATATTCACACTATTTATTATATTGCTATATATTATTCTTTCTATCGTTACATATTTTGACACTCTTTATCGATTTGATATTATGCATTCTAATTAGCAATAATAATTTGCAAAATGATAATGAGCCTGCCAATATATTTCACAATGTTAATTCTATGGAAATGTATTATTTTAAATCGATACGAACATAGAATACGCGATACATTCATAATTGAATAGTAAACACGAAAATATCGGGATATAACTGAAATTTCTATGTTACAAATTGAATTTGTATATTTTCTCATCGTTTTATGTTACAGTTACGAGCAACGTGCGGTATGCGTTACGTAGTTAAAGCTAAGTCCGATAACCCGGGAGACATGATAATCATAAACACATACCGCATACATTATGGAATTATTGTCAAAAGGTGTTACATCGACGATGTGATCGTCATTAAATTTATCGCAAATTTTCTGATATCCAATATAAAGCTTTTAAAAGCTAAAACAATATATATAACTCAACAATAACTTTGATGTTATTGGAATGGTATAAAATTATATACGCACATCGTTAATTCAACTTCGGATATCTTTCCCAAATTATGAATTATAATTACATCATTAACATCTTTCAAAACATTGACATTGGGTAGAATGTTGTCGAATTGATAATATATATATAT